CGATTCGTCTAAATGTTAAATCTTTACATTTAAGAAAAAAAAACAAAAAAAAACAGTTTTGTTAAAATATCTAAAATTTAATCTAAAAAAAATTATTTTTTGAATCTGTATCTGGCCAAATTTTTGGATACTTTAGCAAAATCATGTTGGCTCACATTTTCTTGACATACAAAATTCGAGATACTTCAAGTAAAGTAGTTGATTCACAGATAAATTGATATATCAATTTGGCAATTCTATTCTCTTTTGTTAGCAATTAACAAACGTTCGAACGATTCATTTTGTATTTTCTGACGTGAATTAATGAAATTTCACAAGCGACTGTCCCCTGCTTATGTATTAGTCTCGACCAAGTGCTTTGACAGATGTCCGAAACGCGTCGACCTCGTTATCTCGACACGCGCGATAGTCGGATGCTTGTTATCAAGAAGAAAAACTTCCATCCTGTATCCTGACAGTCTCTGTCTCAGAAGAGGATTGAACGAGTCTATTTTCTCTAGAAAAAAAGTTCCACGAATCCATCCCGTTTTATAATCCAATTTTCGTGTAAGGTGTAACAGAAAATTTAATAATTCATAAATATAAATACATTAGAACATGACGTGACATTTATCTCATTGAAAAAATTGATTTTAAAGTTACCAAGAAATCTTTTATGGATTATATGATTTTATAAACATTACAAGTAAACACAAGCGGTCTGTAGAGAGAGGAAAAAAATTTTTATTAAAATATGTTCAATATGCGTATTTATCGTTTAACGTGTTTAATTTTTTTTCACGTTGAGGTTTGCCATGATCTCGTCGTTAGAGGCATAGAATCAAATTTAATTATGTCTGCAATAGCGTGCAGATGCTCGCGTTTCTCACAAGTAACGTTATAATATATCGAGTAGAAAACCACGTCCATCTATTACTGCACTGCAAAATACGTTAGCAAATTTGTCTGAGTCTAAACGTATATAAATTGCGTGATGCAATGTACCTTCGCAATAAATTATTTACCATCACAATATTACTCATTTTGCCGGCACAAAATAAACAATGCGTTATATCGAACTTAAAAATTTTATTGCGGTCCTTAGTAAAGATTCAATATCGAAAAATATAAACTTGATCTGCATAATTTTCTCTTAAATCCGTATGACAATTCGCGATGGGATGTGAAACAAAAGTCTGCTAATAATTACAATTGCTCGCGAATTGTGACTTCTTCCTGAAATATACGTGGAATAAAATTAGGAATATATAAAATATATGTCCATATGTTCTCATACATTATTCATCAGAAGCGCAAAACTAAAATTATCGAATATCCTGACAGGATCATTGGATGATTAATTCCATGAATTTATTCTATCGCAAATATCGCGAAAGTTGAGACAAGATTCACGAAGTTCATCTACTTTGTTCATCCACGGGGGAGTCTATCACGAAGAGTTACAGATGCTGAAGTGCATTCGACAAGTTTAATTACTTCCCTCGGTTATACGTTGTAGACAG